CATCCATCCATCCATCCATCCATCCATCCATCCATCCATCCATCCATTGCATTTCACATGGAAGGGTGGGTAACGATGGATGGTGAGATGGAAGATGGGCTGAAACCTTGGAAGTCAGCTTCTATGTTTGCCGCCATGTTCGGAGATTCTTTGATCTGCTTCAAACTGAGTTGATGGCCAAAAGATGTGTATCACGACCAGTGAGACGGGGCTGGTGAGAAGCAGACTCAGCTGATGAGACTTGACGAGTTGGCCACTTGGTTGGGCAGGTCCAGCATTCAAAGGTGTAGCCATGAGTCTTGAAGCACACCCAGTATTGACTCGACCGGACCTGCGGTTGGAACAGCCCACATCAGACACTGTACCACTGTGATGAGTGGAAGTGGAGGGCGGTTGGTCCACCTGTCCACTTCCTTCCCCCTCACGGATTCAAGTGGAGTCCCTCCTACTTTGCACTCACAAAACCCATTGTACGTATGGTAGGTGTCTCCAACCAGGAGCTGACAAAAGCAACCATTATGCGCCGTGTTTCGCAGGCGCAGCCGCCGTCGTTGGGAAGCTCCTCGGAGGACGCCTTGGGCAATGGGAGATAAGAGGGATAACCAGGATTGCTGGGCAAGTTGCGCAAGACTTATTGAAGCTAATGGTTTCTTGGGAGTGCATGTTGATTTCCCTGGTGCCACAGCCACAAGTGCCTACCTGGCATCCGTTTAGCCAGATGCTATTCTGGGGATATTTGGGGATTAGTTTGAATGACCGCATCCAGCACTCAGGAAGACATTCGGCAACTCTTGCAATATGATAGATGTTATGAGATGATGATTTCCAACCTTCGAGGCTGCCCACAGGACCCACAGTTTCCAGGTGATGGACATAGGGGTTGCTTTCACCAAAACCACCTGCACACGCCAGTCCAAGCCCTGTTTCCTTTGGGGCAGAGCAGTGAACAGTAGATTCGTTGTAGCAGACAAAGCATGCCAACATGTGCCAACAACGCAAACCAAGACTTCGCAAAAACCAGTGTTGAAACTCCTGCACTTAAAATATATAAACCAGCTCATCTGAATGGTTATTAGTTGTTAGTATTCCAATAGAGAGACGGACCTGCCAACCCCACTTCTGCCAGGAGGGCCAGCTACCAGTGGAGCCCCCCCTCGTCGCCGCCGGCAAGCGGCGCCGGCGCCCGCGCCGAACGCGCCAGCAGCACCGTGGGTGGGACCCATCCCAGTGACTCGGTGCTTTCGGTGCCGCCGAGCCGGTTCAGCTAACCGCGTCACGTCGGGGAACTGCCCAGTCACCACGGAGGAACGCACTCGAAAGAACTGCCAGACGCATCCCAGACGCTCCATGTACGGAATATATGATATATGATATATGTGCACCTACATCGACACCAGAAACCACCCCCAAATGTAGGCAAATACGTCCATAGAGTGCTTGGGCCAGGGTTTCTTGGTTTCTTTCTCTGGGCTTTGGGCTTCGCTCATCGGAAGACATCGGGATCCTCACTTCACCGTCCGGCTGGGCCAGGCAGCCAGGCCTGGTCTTGAGCATTTTGAGTGCGGATCCTCCAACACGAAGCAAGAAGATCATGAATAAGATAAACAGCGAGAGAGGTATAAAGGGGCAACCGGCAACAGGAATTGCTCTAAAACCTGCAAAAGCGATAGGCCCCCCTCAAAAGGGATAACCCAATTTCCGCAGTTTTTGGATATGTTCAGCTATGTTGACATTGTGTCTAAAACCTGCAAAAGCGACACGCCCCCTTAAAAGCGATAACCATGCTGAATCATGTCCTTTGCTTGGCAGTACGTTTTGGCAGACGCTCATGTTTTGTAAATCGATCTCGAATCACTGAAGGTCTTTGATGTTTAGTCTAGTTGTGCTTTGTAACTTTGTAGAATTATAGGTTCAGCATTAAAATGTTCCCTCGCTATGACATGGGTGAATGGGTGGAGAGCGCAGGGAGCGCATGACCTGAGACACTTCGCGATCTTCGGGAATTTTTGAGATGGGGACACGAGTCATAAGCAAGAGGGTTCCTTCTGGATCGAACCCGTTTGGGCTCCTGGCCCACATCCGAAACGAATGTAGTTACACCCCCACCCTGGCACCCACCCCAGTCCCACCGAACGTGGGGATGTGGGCGAATGCAGTGAGGTCAGCCCCACTGGAGGTTGTGGCCTGGATCCAACAAGACCGGGGCTGTTCCTGGCGGAGGTCGGAAGGGATCAAGGGGGTAAGTGTCCAAAATAGGTGGACGTCGGTCCAAAAGAAACGCCCAGTGCACCAAGAGGTGTATATACGTTGACACCGTTGACTGTTCACCAGGTAGTTTCCAGCAGCCCAGTTTGGGTCATTTTCAAGGGTCAAGCAGGTTTGAGGGAACACGGGACCTCTGCAGGGGGTCATCAATTGTCCAGTGTGTATCAGTTTGGGAGGCACTTTCAGCAATATCCACTGAACCAGTTCGATACATCCTCACTTTTGAGGGGAAGTATTCATTAACAGCTGAGCAATGATCTGCTAAGCTTGCTAGCTTTACATCTCTGAGTTGTATTTGTCTCCTCTGCCACCACGAGATTGCCGAGGCAAAAGTTCTCGCATTCCTTTGGACAGCAAGTGCAAGGGCTGCCCTCCCAAAAAGGACAGCAGAGATTTTCGAAGAACGACTGAGCTGCCTCGAGTAGGTCATTCTCAGACTTCAGAACGCAAGACATGGAAAGCATTCTGGCAAGACAGGACACATGACAGACTCATGACACGCATGACACACGAAAACCAACAAAAGACATTTGGCGCACAGGTAAAAAAGAGTGAGGCAAACAATCAAGAACCAAAAGACATGAACATCAACTAGGATAGTGGAAGATGGCACACGATCCATATGTTTTTGTTGCTGTACTGGGTGCTATTTCAGGTTTGGTTTAGACACTGATGGGACTCTGGGTGGGCATCATCCAGGATGGCAAGCTTTGTGCCAGCACCACCTGGTACGAGGACCATGTGCGCGAGGAAGCGATCGACGCAAAGCATTGCCTTTACAGTCGATGGAAAGAGAGAGCCAATTGCCATGGTCAGCCGGTCAGCTAAACAGAGTCTTAGAAGCTAGATAGTATTTTGGTGGTTCTGTCCTACGAGTTGTAACATCCTGTAAACAATTGCCACTACAGTAATTATGATTTGAACAAGGCCTGTAGTCGCCATCATAATCTTCTGAGCTACTGATAATAGATATAATAGAATAGACCCAGCATTCATGTCATCATGGAAATCATATCTACATCTTCAGCATCCGTGTTTTTTTTTTTTAATCAATGTCAAAAGAACAGCTTTTTAACCAGTGTTTCCCTCTCTGCGTACGTAGCCTTGTCAAACGCCTCGTAGCTGATGCCAAGGAGCTGATTTGTCGGACAATCAGTTCCTGGAAGTCCGAAGTAAGTCAGCAAAAGACGCGTCAGCAACCCAAAACCCCAGCGTTTTTTTTCCACATGGCATGCATATGCCATATGCTCCACTCCCACTTCGACACGCAGAGTTCAATTCTGGGTGTCGCCCTTTGCGCCGCATAGGACACCACCCGCGGCTCCTGTGGTTGTGGTGGCCGTGGCCATGTGGAACACGACTATTGGACCTTGACGGAGCGATGCGTTGGTCGACCGAACGCGTGCCACGTCTGCGACGAGGGTTTGGTCATCACCGGTTCTCGGTGCAACGGCGATGCGACGTCCGCGGTTGGCCTTTCGTGGCATGGAAGCAGCGTGGGTGCTGGACCAGGGTTCGTCTTTGATCTTGATTCAGGGTTTAACAGTTTAAGTTTAAGAGCAAGTTTAAGTCATGCATTGATCCCATCATGAATGAAATGTGAATCACTTCAAATTGGACGGTCTCAAAAGCAATCCACATGAATCACCTTGAATCAACGGTCCCACATGAGTTCTATTGCACTGAGCAGTCAAGGATCTTCTGGGCTTCACAGTGGATGAGGCATTGACTGCTCCGCCAACTGCGCCAGGAGTACACCGCTGCCATGAACTGTGCCAACTTGGACACAGATCCTGCGAAGAGCTGGTGCGCCAAGAGCTGCACACGCTTAAGCAATCAGACAGAGAGCATTTGAACTATATATAATATAATCATGGTTGCCAGCCCTACATATTTTGTTTGCCCAACTCCCTTTGTGGTGGATGGCTGAAAATGCTTTTAAACATGTTTTTTTGTTTTTGGTCCATTTGGTCGTTTGGCAATCAGCGAGACGCCCCACTCGTGCATGTCCATGAGCATTGAGCTCTGGACGATGGGATTCGCCGGAGACCACCACGTCCTTTCTCTATAGCTGAAGAAATCTTTGATTTTGTTTGCACAACTCAGTTTATAGACATCCCAAGCTCCTCATTGTTTTAAAGACAATGATACTATCAACAACAAACAAGCCTCCACTTTCCAAAACACCCCGAAAGACCGCCGGTTGAGCTTTTCGTTCTCATCGGCCATCGCTTGACAGGTGCCCCGTGAACTGCGGACAGTGCTACAAGCTTTGCACCACGGGTGGCGCGACTCAGGGACGGAGCCCCAAGCCAGGCGAGTCTTCGCTCGAGGGCTTCGGTGGGAGTCGGCGACTGCGTTGATGAAGCTTTTGGGAGTGGAAAGGGGGGCTGAAGACCTCAACAAAACCAAGATGCAGGAGTTCCATCCAAAGAGGGGTTATATACTCGGTTCGCACTCACGACGTGGGTCTCACACCTCTTTGACAATGGCAGCCGCAAGCCTGCCTGGCCAGGCGTTTGCCGTATCTTCAAGATCACCAACCGCTGTGGTGACGGCTACTGGTCGGATCTGGTTGGGCTGTGGATCGAGATGGTGATCCCGGTGGTGATCCGCTCTCTTCAAAAGATTGCAACAAAGATCGACTGAATTGTTGCATATAAACTTAACTATACCTATACCCTCCAAGCCACCAAGAATTGGTTGAAAAGAGTCATACCGCTTCGTATTAGACGATGATTATCGGCCGGTTCATGCCGGTTCCCTCCATTCTGGACGTCACGGCTTGGACGGTTGACCCTTCATCCGATCCATGGAGCGTCGGCGTCGTTTCGCGTCGTTTCGCTCGGTCTGTGTCCAAGGCTATGATGACCACACACCTGACTGGTGCAGCCAGCATATGTCCTGGCAAGACTGACCCGACCTTAGACCGTCACAACACGTTGCAGCTTTATACATAGCTTTGGCTTTATGAGATGGATTGCGGTTTGCGGCACTAGATGACGGATGTGAAGCTTCATGTGACCTTAACCAGCACCAGGTCACCACCAGGTCAGGTCACCACCTGCCACGTCACCAGGTCGTCTCCATTTCAGCCACCAGATCGGACGCTAGCTTGGTAGGACGGTCGACGACTGCTTGACGGATCCACGACCTCGCTGTGGCCGAGCCGCCCACAGGTTCCAAGAACCCCAGCAAATGCAAGCAGCGCGGCAGTACCAACCAGCCCCTTGGCTGGTGCTCTTGCACACGAAAAACGGTGGGTTTGACTTGCTTCGATACCAAACACCTGTGCAACATCCGGTGTTCATGGACGATATACAGGCTACCTTTTGTTTCTTGTTCTAGAATGGTTTGAACATATGATGGATTCTGACATGCCAGCGCTGCCACGAGTTGGCAGTTCTAAGGTTTGGCTATCCTGCGCACTTCGACTTACAGGTGCGTTCGCTCGCTGCAAAGCGAACGGGCGGTTTGAACGTGCTTGCTTGAGAGCATTATGTACATGCATATAGTACAGTTGATGAATATGAACCATATGGACTTGTAAAACCATTCTGGTAGGGGTTGATGACTCAACAGTCAACATATGTCAACATGATGTTGGAAGCCGAAACGAATCCTCCTAGACCCATCTCCTTATTTGAGCTCCAAAAGGCAAAGAAACCTGAGACGCAGACCTGAACCAGCACCTTCAAAGTGATTTGTTTGGAGTCTCTAAGTGACCCTTTTACAGGCCTAAGTGTCCTCATCCTAAGATCTCAAAAGGATTCAAAAGGTCACTTTGAGGGTCTACGGTCTGACCGTAGACATTCTTCGTGTAGAGACTTCTTCTTCGTGTCAACCTCCAGGATTACCATCGACAGATCACGAGCAATACCACGGGCCTAGAGTCTTGGGTTTCAAATGTTGATTTGCGTCACCCGGGCTTCCAGGTCCTGATTCTTGATTCTGCGCTGTTCTAATGGGAGGAAGAAATGGTCCCCACCCTCCTGGGTAATTACCACTGTTTGAAACATCTTCACTGTAATCTACAGTGTTTTGGGATGTTATTTGTTTAATTCATGGTTGTTTTGGACACCTTCTCTTCCCACAAGGGTGCGGGTCCATATTGGAAACAAAGAGAGACAAGTGAAGAAGTTGAACCTTTCATATTTTCGATCTTCCATAATGATCTTCTGGATTTCCAACAAATACCATATCCACCATGGAGGACAGCAAAACATTGTGGGCTGCAGATTAGAACCCATACAGCCCATACTCGAGGTTGTTGGTATTTACTGTAGTTGATTTCTATGTTTGGTCATTTAATCAGCACCTATCAATGAACTATGGATGCACTGACCAAACATATCCACGAAATGTAACAGATATATACCCTAATAAAAAGAGTCACTAGAGGTCCATGTTCAACTCCCGAGGTCTATGTTCAAACCACAACTGTTTGCTTGGAGCCTGGCTGATCGCTTCGAGCTGAGGATTGGGACAACGCAGAAGTGACCTTCGAGTTGGCGCGGAACACGTGGGGTGAAAGGGGAACCAAACAGCAGCAAGTCAACACGACAAAAAAGGCCGACACTAAGCACTTCGGGATGATGAGCAGGGAAGAGGTAGGAATTCTAAGAGGGCCTCCCTGGCCCTGCGGGGTCTCTTTATGTCTCTTTAACTAACAAAGCCTAACAGAGCCTTGATCACCTTCATTTTGCATGACAATCAGTCTATGTCGGTGTGGTGGATGCGCCAGGGCTAGTATTTGGATATCAAGGGATAGCAGGAAACGCATGTTGCCACCCTAGTATGTTTAAGGGAAACCCAACCACTGGGTGCTAGTGGAAGTACAGTTACATATTTCTTCCAGACACTTTAGGAACTTCTCCCAGAATTGGTTTAAGGGAAAATCTACAGGAAAGCCATAGTTTGGGGGTTGAAAACAAGGGTTTCCGATTTTCCCTTAAACCAAGAAGTCAACGAACTGTGTCCCGGGTGGATTCTACACCTACCCCTTACCCGTGCGACAGGTGTCGTGCATTGCTCCCTGCAGGTGTCCTGCAGTCAATGGACGGGACCAAAACAGGTGCAATGCACTGGCTGCAGCAGGTGCTATGCACGAGGGGGCGCGGGGTTCATGCGAAAGATGGTGTGGCGGTGCAGGATGGGTGGATGATTGAGATTTGATTTGTGTTTAAGCAAAAATGATGGGTGCGATCGGTGCGATGGATGGATGATGGTGGATGATTGTCCAGCCCGTTTAAAACACAACCTTTTAACAGCGGAAAACAGATGAAAACAGTGTTTTCGACTGTTAAAAGATTGTGTTATATTTTGTTCACCAGTCGATAGACACGCTGCCTGGCCGCCCACACCTGGCAAAGGAAGATTCGTCGTGGCTATACACCCTAACTTGTTTGCATAAGGAGCTCCATGCGCTGGGAAACAGTTTAGAACTGTTGAACTACACAAAAAAAAAAACAGGGGCCACCCTGTTTGGGGCCCCATCTATGAATCGGTGATGCCGGACACGTGAATCACCTGTGAACAGTCTTCGCTCTGGACTCAAACACTGCTCCCTTATATAACTCTGGAAGTAGAAGCCGATGTTGGCACAGTCTTGAGGTCCCAACATACCACTTGACTCAGCAACAGGATGGGAAACCAAGGCTTTTCAGAACTTGCACGGCTGCCTCACTCTCTTCAGGGTCATCCATTCCAGGCTGAAGGACGCGGAAGATCTATAGACTAAAGTAATCCACCATAGAATGGCCTAAGACTTAGGACATTCGCCCGATTTCTGAAGTCAGATCTATGTTGATCCGTGGAGTGAATTTCAGATGAAGCATCTTCAGAGCCCTTCAGCAAGAACGGTCGACGCCGGTTCTCGAACTGCTCGAAGTGACGCCCTTTAAAACACCCCAAGCAATGGATGGTTTGGATGTTTGTGTTGCCCTTGATTTCTGTGGGGTCTAGAGTCTAGACTCTCTAATATAGACATCATATTTACGTACGGAAGTTCGAGAGAACTGGCCAACCGCATGTCACAGCCCTGGCATCACTCAGTGAGTGTTGTGACTCAGCTTACATATAGACTTCGAGGTATTCCAATGACCCCGACCATTGTGCGATGCAGATCCTGCCACGAGACGTGTTGGGCTGTGCGCTGCAGGTGAACTATACCTCTGACTGACTTTTGCCTTGTAATGATTCCACTGGAAGCAGCTGGATGATCTGTGACTGGAAGTGTTTGATGATTATTGTAAGTCTTTGTTTGACAAGGTAAAGCATACAAGCTACCCTCAAATCCTATGTTTGTGTTGGCATATATGATATGAAGGAAAAACATCCGTTGATCAGTGGGGAGCAGAGAGCTATTTTTTTGGAGAGAGCTCAACTCGACTTTCGCCGAGTTAGAGGGCCCGGAACCGCACGATGAACCGTGTAACTTCCACCCACTGCCCGCTATGTTTTAGGATGGCATCCGATGATCCGATGATGAAGCTGTTCCATTATGTCCCGAACGGAAAGAACTGTTTGGATTGGGCTTTCATGGGGTCAGATTTGGATTGGGATTTGTCGTGACAATAGGTCACTATAGGCTTCTCCACCACAGATTGAGACATTGTCTTGAACAAGAATACATGAACATGAACTGGACAGGTTATTGAGGCAAATGGTTCTGGAAATAAGCTGCAAGGATTTCCTGACTGTCGCCATACTCATTCCACTTTCATGGAGTATATGCTGTACCTCAGATCTGCAGCCGTGCCTCAGTTCTCCAGCTGCTTCCAGCGGAGGTTTTGCTGTGGCTCGGCATGGGCAACTTGTGCACCGTGGTCAGTCTGATTCACCTTGGGATGATCTTCAGTAGTGTATCATGGGTCTTCAGGAGCGGACGAGTCTCAGGTGGTTTGATCGGTTGACGCACCGAAGTCAACTGATGGGGACAAAGGATTGGGCAACCCCCCCCCTCTCAGACGGAGACAGACATAAGGCTACTTTAATCTACTTCCATCTACTGCAATGGATACTTCAATCTACAGAACGGGGTGTATACAGGTTGACCGGTCTTCAATGTAGCGATCTCTTTTGGCTGGGTGACAGACATGTTTGCTTGAGTCGTAGAGTCAATCGTATAGAGATGTATAGAGTAGAGATCCCAGCACTTTTGCAAAGGGCACACGCGGACGGTGCGACGGTGCACATGCAAGTGATATAGTCCAACTGCTCCAGTCTTCAATGGGTACCAGAGCAGGCGAAGGAAGACGCCACACTAAGAGTGGTCGTTTTGATTTGCCTTGCGAAAAGCCCATAAGCATGAACTTTGATTGCCAATCTGCCGGAATTGTGCGATGCCAACATGTATGGTTCCTTTTTTTTCCGGCTCAATTGGATGAATATGGATGAATTACATCCATGAATATCCATGAATGGATGTTTGACCAAAGCTCTTCTTTGGCATCTGACATCGGACCCTCTCCATGGGCCCATGCCTGCCATCGGACCGACCTCCATCGATGGCTCTAATCCCCGGGTTTTTCGGCACCGACGAAAAATGCGTCGGCGCTCCCTTCGACGTGCGCCGAGCAGCTCCCCACGGAGCCGAGGGGCTCCGGGGCGAAGGTCTCGACCGTCGAGACAACTTTTGGTGTCGCTTTTGGTGTCGGGGACGGTGGTGCGAAGCTGGCGAACGCAAGGTGAAGTTGCGCGAAGGATTTACTCCTTGAAGTCTGAATTGTAATTAGATACATGTTTTTTCTTCAAGACTTGTCGGAGCAAGCTTGTTGAATGCTCAGGGCGATGGCCATCGGAGCCTTTTGTGGATGTTAGTTCAAAGGGACGACTTCAACACTTCAACACAAGAAGCTTTTCGGTTCAGCTTTTCGACCTGACACGACAGAACCACCGAGACCAGACACCTCCTGCGGACTAATTCGACTGCAAGAGGCACTGGCAGTGCAGAGGCACTGGAGGGCTGAAGCAGCCGGCATGCTGAACCCCGCGTCCACCTGCCAACGGAGACATGGAAGGAAAGGCCTTCCTGTCCACCCACAGACCCTTCGCCTGTGGCTGAACCAGTATTGCAAACCAGTGCACTTAACGGATTGAGCCATTGACACATTCAGGTCAGGTGCTGTGACGCTTTTGTAGGGCCACTTGTTTTGTGGTTCTCAGCTGTCTAGCAGCCGTGAAACCAACCCTAAAACGGCCGAATTCGAGCATTCAAGAGGCTCCGTTTCGCTGGATTCCAGCTAGGACCCGCTTGCCAATTGGGTCCAGGATCAACTTCCTGACACAAATTTTGTCCCTTGTCCTCGACCTGGAAGGGGCTTATACTGGAGACATTCTTTTCGGAAAACTTGGCCGAGAGAATGTCCGACACGGCGTGAGTGAACTCGCCACGCGAATTGACTCGCCCGAATTGACGCGTCATGAGCCTGTCTCGGCGACTGGGCAAACAACTGAGGATCCAGGGTGGTGTCGATTCCGCTTGTACTTGGTGTTGACAGCCCGAGGGTTTGCCTGGAGCCTTTGGCTTCTTTTCTGTGAAGTGCTTCGTGGTCTCCTCACATGCTGAATGATCGATCTAAATCATTCTAAATCCAAATCACATGGGAATGAACTACATCAACCAAAGCAACATCGACAGGACGACGCAATTCATCAACATGCATCAAGCCACCCAGCACACCAAGTACTATAGGGTCTATAGTATGGTCCACTAATATCGAGTCTGGTATTCCAACTACTCCCCTGCAGAGGCAGAGGACCACATGGAACCCCAGTTCACCACCTCGGGTTGGTCATCGATCAGCAGGTCTCCAGCTCAGCAGGTCCAGGGCCTCCGGGTCTATGGGATCGGTTTGCCAAAGGGTGTCATGCTATGCCGTAATTGGGTTGTTTTTCGAAACAATGTGTCATTGCATTGGCCACTCCATGCCTGTCGTATCATGTTATGCCTTCATTCACTACCTCTTTTCAACCACCCCAATGTAGGGACTACATATTCCAGTCCCATTGGTGGTGTCTCGGTGTGTTTGAGGAATGGCTCTATTCGCACCGGCTCTGAACCACCCCGTCCCATCGAGTCGCGTCGAGCCGCTGATCTCCAGGAGCGACGGACGGGTGCCAACAAGATCCCGGTCGATTGGAAGCCACCTCCCAAGGCCTTGGGCCGGATTTACATAGGGATTTACATGTGGGTGATGGCAGATGTGGGTGAGATGGAGATTTCTTTGGCATCTAGTCACTGGTGCAGAACCAGAAGATGCAGAATGGCTGAAGATCCACTTGCCCTTGACATAAACCATATCTGATGACCGATGACCCTTTTGAAATCCCATGGAAGACATAGGACAACTAAGTAGACTGCATGTACTGCTCTATTGCTTTCCTTCGTTGGAGGCAGATGTCTTTTTGGGCGTGGTTGATTGGGAATTACAGATTAGTATTTGGACCTAGACAGTTGCCTCTTTCTACCCAGTCAGTGTGCATCACCTGAAAATTGGTTTTACAGGTTTCCCCCGACTCAACGGGTGGAACGAGGTTAACCTCTTTTTCCAGGGACACAGCTTGGGGCCCGGGTCAGTTTTTGCTATCAATCTGAATAGACGCGTTCACAGGCCTTTCCTGGTCCCTCAAAACCAGGGATTGGTTCAGGTCCAAAGACCCCTCCAGAGGATTCGGGTTTCTGCCCCGTACCTGAACAGAGAGGGTCCAGACTTCGCGTTTGGGTATGCAACATGTTTGCCAACCTTGGCTGGTTTTGCAGATGCAGTTCCGCAGGGTACGGCCTCACTCGTTTGCGCGTCGACGGGGCCGATGATGTGCAGAGCCCCACGTGGTGTGGCCGTGTGGCCGAGCCGGCGGGCTGGCCGGTCTTGACCCGTTGAAGGCAACTCATGTGAGCCTTGACATGAGTCCTTCGACACTTTGTTTTCTGCCTTGGTTGGTGGCAAAACGACCCCCAAATTCACCTGGAACACCACCATGTCTTGAACCTTTGGCGTGTTTTTCGCTACAGCTCTAGTCGGTGCCCAGGCCCCTTCGGAGGTTCAGGGAGTGACGCCCAAGTCGGCGCCGTCGGGTGTCCCAGAGCCGGCGTGAATAGAGCCATATCCTTCAAACGCACCCTAGCGGGACTGGCATATTTATATAGTCAATTTTAGTATTATTATGTCATATATATAATTATACCTATACCTTGGGGTGGTTGAAAAGGGGTCAATGTAGGCATATAGAAAGAGTGAAGCCATGGATGAATATGGCGTGGCTAAGAAATCCTATATGGCCTGGTTTTGAGTCATCATTCCTCCGCCAAGGGCAACCATGAAGTAATACTTGTTGTGCTAAATCGATCTGAGTGAGACATGAGCTAATTATCGGAAACTACTAGGAACAAGAAGCTACTAGGGGCTCCTGGCCTTACTACTAGGAACAAGAAGCTATTAGGAGCAAGGGTATCGCTACTAGGGGCTCCTGGCCTTGGACGCTAGTAGGACAACCCCACCTGACGCCCAGTGGGTCGCTGTCGTCCCTAGCCTCGCGCCGAGGCCGAGGAAGCCTTCTCCACTGGGGCCTGGGGGACGAGGCCGAACCATCCAGGAGTTGTTTGTGGACCACCTGCAGCAGCACCTGAGTTCGTTGGGGGCATTGGTCTCCTGTTTCAGAGTCTTTTTTGTTCGTTTTTGTTGGGGAGTGTATATGACTTCTATTTTGGAAAACGGCTCCGCCGCAGTCCGTGTCCGTTTGGGCGAACAAGCCTCGGTACCTTTTGATGGTGCTCAAAACCGCTGGCGAGTGTGTCTGAAAGGTTTGGAGGTTGACTTAATAGACTGAAGGGATATAATATGATACAATAAATATAATACTTGGATCTTCCAGCTATTCAAGAATGCTTGCCTTTTTGATGCCTCTCGGCTGGCTGTACAGATGAAAAGACAGAAAGTTTGCCAGTTGGAAGATCCAGGTATGACTTGTTGCTGGAGCTGTTTTATCCAGGATCCATGAACTGGAGGGACATAGAAACGTTGGCGTTTTTTTCAGGCGAAAGCACTGCATGGTGGTGTTCCATTGCTTTGAGTCAAGCTATAATTGATTTGCCAGCAGTTGTGTGTGTAAACTGTTTGGTATGGACAGTATGATGGGTTCACATCCATCCTGCATTCTTGAG